TGTCCATTTTTAAATATTTATTACATACAGAATATATAAATAAATTTTGTTTAAAAATGCAAATAGGAAAAAGAGTTTATCTATAAATATTTACTGCAATGTATTCAGTATATGTAATACAGTGTTATTTCATATATAGTTTTGATTATATATTTTACATGTAATTTTGATTTGATATATGTAGTTTATGTATAGTTTTTTTTAAAGATTTTATTTGTTTAACAGAGAGTGATAGAGCACAAGTAGGGGAAACAGCAGGTAGAAGGAGAAGCAGGCTCTTCCTTGATCAGGGAGCCCAATGTGGGACTGGAACCCAGGACCTTGGGATCATTACCTAAGCTGAAGGCAAATGCTTAGCCAACTGAACTACCCAGATGCCCATATAGTTTACATATAGTTTTGATTACTGGTTTTATATCTTAAAACACATCTTAGAGATCTTTTTGTATCAGTATATTAGATTGATTTTATTTGTTAGAACCTCTTCTTAGTATTTGTTTAACCATAACATTTTGATTGTTAAAACAATTTGCTCATAATATAATGATGCATTGAATTCTCTGTGTTTCATTGTGAACAAGTGTATTTCTCTAGGCTATGTAAATTAGACATCAATTAAACATTTTGCTCATTTTTAAATTTTATGTAAAACTAAATTTTTTAAAAAACATTTATTTATTTGTCAGAGAGAGAGAGCACAAGCAGGCAGAATGGCAGGCAGAGGCAGAAAGAAGCAGGCTCCCTGCTGAGCAAGGAGCCCGATATGGAACTTGATCCCAGCACGCTGGGATCGTGACCTGAGCTGTAGGCAGTGATTTAACCGGCTGAGCTACCCAGGCATCCCCAAAAACTAAATTTTTACATTTAGTTTACACTTAACTAAATGGGCTCCAGAGATAATTATATCACATTTTCTCCATAATTTCTCAGAGTACGAGACTAATGATGTCCTAAATATTCACCAATACTGTATATTATCAGTATCTATTTCGGTAATGTGAAGGTTAAGGTTTTGTAGTCCGGGATTTTATGAGGTAATTTTTTCATATGTTTATTATCCATTTATATTTCTTCCACTGTGATATGGTCGATTTTTATCTTTTACATATTTTTCTTACATTCTCTAGTAATTTGCATTTTAATTTCTAAGTATTCTACATATATTTTGGATTTTGGATAAGTACTGCAAATACTGCCAGTCTGCCGCTTTTCTTCTAATTCTGTTTACTGCATCAAAGTTATAAATAAGTTCATCTTTGCTAACATTCATCAATAGCTTTTCTTTGAAACATTTAAGTTATAATAATTATAGAAGGGGATTTTAATTAAAATTAATTTTACTTATGTTTATTAAAAATAAAAATAAAACTTGTTTCCCAAGAGAATCAAACAGGATGATTGTACAAGTATAAAGGAAAACAATGTAACTAGTTATTGTCCTCAACCAAATTCAGGCCCTAGATAGAGTTTTTAGACAAAATGGGATGAAGGTCAAAATGAATTGAAAAAGAACTTGAACAGGTGTTTGTATACATCTGCCCTCATTTGTAATGGCCAAGAGACAAGACCTCTGATTCTAACTTTGTCTTGTAATTTATGCTTATTGCCCTTAGAAATGTAAATACATTGAACTCCCTCAAGTTTAAGAATTCAAACATTGAAAGCAATTAAAACTTGTATTTAGAAAATAGCTATAAATAAGAGCTCTAGTAGTGTTTAAATGGTTCATTTAAGATTTAAAATATTGTGTATTTGATTATTAAATAACTGATTTATGTATGCTAAAAAGACATTTTTATTTTAAAACTCTTGTAATCATGTGCATCATTTGGTAGACTCACACTAATGTAATAAGTAGGACAGTATTTGCTGAAAGCACTGAATTGTGAATTAAAATACACCAGTACTTTTCTTAAGACTTTGAAAAGAACTACAAATATGTAGCAAATTGGTACTCTTCATATTTAAAATTTAACATATGGGATAGAATCGTGGTTTTGGATAGGGACAGATCTCTATTATGAATGCCAGATCTGCCTTAAGCATGTTATTTAAGCCTTGACATCTCATCCACCTATCTGCAAAATGAAGATAATAATGACTTATATCATAGGGTAATTCTGTATATTCGTTAAAATGACATGGTAAGCACTTAGAACAATGCCTGATGCATAATGATAAAAGTTACTTGTCATTTATATATTTATTAACCTGTTTTAAAATTGGTTCTCTTGTTCTTCAGGTACAATATTTAAAGGACAATTTACTTGCAAAGCTATTTCTATTAATCATAAAATCCACTTGGCTTTTGGTAAACTTCTCAATGTCTTCTGATGAACCAAAAGCAAAGTATTAATAATGGAAAAAAAAATCACCCTGATTAAATTTAAATTGATCTGACTTCTACTATCAGGTGTAAGATTTTAAGAGAAGAATTTATATTATTTCACTTAGTGTTTAGTCAGTTCTATCAGCTCTAGTGGATTTAGACAGCTTTGTTCTTGTCTTGATGTGAATAACTAATTGTAGTAATTAACCTGACTATAACAGTATAATGATTGAACAATCAGCATTCAAGTGGCTTTCAACTTTCTCCTAAAACTTTTAATATCAAAGTGACCCAAAATCCATCTCACCTGGATAGAGTTCCTTGGATTATTTCTAAATGATAACTGGTTCAGTATTTTGGAAAAGAAGGAAATCATTGAGTTCTAAGAAAGAGCATATTGTGAGCCTGCATTTGACCTTAGTTCGTGACCGAAAAAGTTCAAAGCTTATCAAAATTCACTTGGGTATATTTTCTTTTATTCTTATATTTACATTTTGGATATAATTTTGTTTCTAAGAGGTTATACTCTTTCCATGGGGTATACATTAGAAATAATTTTAGATGTATGATTGAATTAGAAGAAGAGAGAAAAATGGTTAATAATAGATGTCTCTGACTTCCCTGTGAAGCCATCCTTGAACAATAATTGGTGAGATCTCTGCTATCCAAAAAGAAAATAACCTCTTTCAGTCACCTACTCCATAGCTGCATTCCATCCCCTCTGAGGGCTGGGCAAGGTAATTTTACTCTGTATACAATGCCTCACATCACACTTCCAACTAATTCATCCCTCCAGTGAGGTTTGAAAACATGAAACAACATGACTATTAGGAATGTAGCTGAGGTCTATGGAGGGCTGCAGAGACTCTTACTAGTTAGAAGGAGTAGAGGAAGAAGATTATGAAATAAACTCCCTTAATAAGAAGACTGAATTGGAAACACACCAATCTGAAGAATCAGAGGAGAACAACATCACAGTAATTGGAGTTAAAAGAAATCTGTTGAGAGGGAAGGTGATTTCTTAAAACTCTGGAGAAATTCTTTATCAGGAAAAAAAAAATCTGTCTAGATTTAAGAGGAAAAGAGTAGTAAAATGAGACTTGTGATTCTTTTGGGTGATTTATATTTATTATTGCTAGTAGAAGAAGCTAGTGATAAGGAAAGCTACAGAGTCTGGGAAGTAAAAGTAATGAAGTCAAGTTTACAGAGGTCCATAGCACAGTTGTTTCAGAGAAATTGTTGTTACTTGCCATTCACCTACTTCTGTTCTGCAAGATGGTATGATTTACCTTACAAAAAGTATTTTGTGTTCATTGTGTTTTATAGTCTCTTCCTTTATCTAAATCCTCTATGTTTTTGCCCTTCATCTGACACCACTTTGGGTTTGAACAGGAAAACTATAGCAGGAACTCCTAGAGCTGGAAAGGTAGAATGTTGACAAAGAGAGACTCAGCAAAAATTCTTGCTTTTGGAAGAACCAGGGATTTTATAATATTATCATGGTTTATTTGAGAGTGGGACTGATGTAGAAGTCTAACTTAAGAAACTATATAGAAAAAGGAAAGAGGTAATTTTTATCAGTCAGAATCCTGATGGGAGATACATGTCAAAATCATTTTTTGTTTTTAAATGAGTGGAGGTGTTCATGAATATGTGGCTAAAATTAATGGGAAGTGTCGAGGGTTAACCTAAATTGTTTGGAGTTTCAACCACTGTAGGTTTCAGATGCAACTGGGAGGAACAGTCACAGAGACTGAGAAAGAAGAACTGTAGCTCTAAGAGATTCATTACCTCCCAGGATAGAAGCTGTGTTCCTTGGTAGACAGACTTCACCAAATTCTGATGACCCTTCTGGTAGAGAAACATGGCCAAACTCTGAGGGAGGATGTGGAAATAAATTGTTTTCAATCCTGTAATCACTTGCCAGTTATACCCAGTGATTGGACCAAACTCAAAGCCAGAGGGCAAGAGAGCCATTTGATGAAGTTCACAGAGTTAGCTCCATATGGCACAGAGAATAGTGGTGAAGAGTGGAAAGTGGGTCTTGGGGGCCCACAGAAAATATCTAGGACACACAAGCCAAATGTCTAGGATATAGACCCAGGATATACAAGTGTTTAAGAATTTTTTTTTTCCAAGATAAGTACCTTTATAGTCATTGAGAACACAAAGACTCTGTAGCTTTCCCTGCCATCCTTGGGGCTCATATTTAAGTGCATATTTTAATATAACATGTTCATGTACAAGTGTGTGTACACTTGTATTATTTACCTGGATACACATACATACATGTAGCTACATAAAATCTTAGAATATGTATTTTTGTATTTTTCTTTCTTTCCCACAATTCCCAAATCTTTCTGTGGTAGACAGAAAATTCACATTGCACAAACTAGATAGAATTAAGGATGTTGAGAGAGCTGAGCATGTTTTGGCTAATGCCAGTGTTCTACCTTGAAATCAAGCATGCTTGTAGCCCTTCTCTTGTCCAAGTAAGCATTAACATAGAAAACACAGAGGTCATTTCTCTAGTTATTGGGAGAGTGTTTCAGTAGCCTCATTATGTTCATGCTGCTTGTGGCATCTGGTTATTATTTAGCAGAATAATTTTATATCCTCTGAGATTTTGCTTAGCACCTATGTCAATCTTCCTCTCAGTCTTCCAAAGCACCAACTGAGGTTCTTGAAGCACTCACAAAATAGACAGTAATGATATGGAAAGAAAAGTCTCAGCTGGACAATGCAGAAACTCCCCCTGGTTAGATAGATATGCAAGAGTATATGTGATATGTCAAATATCTGTTAATGATGAATACCTAGCACTCTTAGAGCTCTGAAAATTATAACAACACATAATTCAGTTATTAAAACTTGTATGAACTTTTTCCTTTTGAGTAATTGTCATATTCCTAGAAAACAGCATTTATATATGCATTGTTGTTTTGACATTAATTGAAAAATAATTTTTAACCATTATTTTCTTAAGGATTTATTGAAAACAAACATGTGAAGTCTCCAGATAGTATAATGAAAGGAGCAATTTAGGAGTGTTTGGAGAAGTCATGAATGAATTTGTACCCTGATTTAATAATTGCTACATCTGCAACTTTAGGTGAGTTACTTTACTTTTTTGAATTTTATTTTTCATATTTTTAAAGTAAAGGTAATAATTCCAAACATGTGGATATTGGAAACAATAAATGTGCATGAAAATCTTCTAATCCTGCCCCTCTGCCATTCCTCCTTTTCACTTACCATCACCAACCTGGCAATATTTCCTTGGGTCCTATCAAAGACACTGACCAACGGTGTAATTTTCTCTATTTATCCAGTTCCAGATTGACTGTAAATGTATTCCATTATTCCTGAAGACCTCAGGAAGTTAAAGATATTAAAGCTTGAGTGAATACAACACTATTTGCCCTGTATTTTGCTGCCTCTTGTCTTGATTCACATCTTGAACATAGAAAATATTGCCCACGTCCCAGTGTGATTTTATTCTCTAAGACTTCCTCCAGGCACAAAATTAAAGATCCCTAGGCTCTTTCCACTTGCTAACAGTGTTTCATAGACATAGTCAGTTTTGAAGAAAGTCAAAGCCTAAAATGAAATCTGTACCTCTCTACCCATGTCTAAATAAGGGGATGCAAATGTAAAATAGAGCAAAAATTAATCTCAAATTCCAGACTACTTAAGTGAATAAACAGAAGAAAGAAAAAAAAAGGAAGCTCTGTTTTAACATTAATTCCCATCAATATTAGAGGTAATTGATTCCACAAAAACTAGAATATGAAATTTAGCCATAACATTATCATGAATATTATAAAATTAATGATATATTTAACTTTAAATACTATTATATAAGGATATTAGTAACCATTCCTAGAAATTACAATGAAACATTAAACTTTATGTCAAATTTATATTGAGACAATTACTCCAAATTCTTCAAAAGCAGACAAATTCCTTGTGTGTCCTCCCAATGCAATATTCCTGAGGGCATTTTTAGACACCTGAAATGATATTAAGTTCATTATATTTGTATTAAGTCTGGATAAAAATGCATGTTATAGAGTTAATTTATCATTGTGAAACTTACTTTTAGAAGAATTAAGGTAAGGAAGCAAAGAATGCTTATAAATGTAGTATGATTAAGATATTTAGGTAAAAATAGTTTTTAAATGGTGAAGCTAAAAAGTATTTATGTGAAAGAAAAGGGAATGAAATAGATAATTTTCAGATATTTAACATACAATTATTTGTACACATGTTCACATATGCACACACACACACTCATACACTTATATATGTCAAGATGTATTTATGTAAAATTTAAAAGTTTTAGAGAACATCATTAACTCATTTAGCTCAGCAAAAAGAATAGAGAACTAATACCAGCTCTCTGGTTTTGATGTTGTACTAAATTATGGAAGATATTACCATTGGGATAGGTTTGGGTGAGGAGGACACAGGACCTCCTGGCACATTATTTTGAAACTGACTGTGAACCTATAATTATAAAATAAATGTTTAAAAAATAAGGTAATATTGGACAAAAATTTTTTTAAGTAAAAAGAGCCTGTAAAGGGAAATTATGCATTGGTTTTGAAACCAAGAAGGTGCACTTTATTATTTTTATTTACTTATTTATTTATTAAGATTTTATTTATTTATTTGACAGAGAGAGATCACAGTAGACAGAGGCAGGCAGAGAGAGAGAGAGAGGGAAGCAGGCTCCCCGCTGAGCAGAGAGCCCGATGCGGGACTCGATCCCAGGATCCCGAGATCATGACCTGAGCCGAAGGCAGAGGCTTAACCCACTGAGCCACCCAGGTGTCCCAAGAAGGTGCATTTTAACTACACATTTTAAAATGTGATTATAGGAGCTAAGTGCGATTGTTGGATTCAACACGAGAAATAAAGTATCAATAGGAATTTTAAAATCCATTCCTTTTGTATAAAATGGAAAATTGTTTTTATGCATTTACCTGGATGGTTTTAATCATAATTATGGTTTTAATAATAATCTATAACTTTTAAAAAATATTTATTTATTTATTTGAAAGAGAGAAAGTTTGTGTGTATCCAAGCAGAGGGACAGTCAGAGGGAACTAATCTCAAACAGACTCCCTGCTGAGCATGGTGTCCAACACTGGGCTTCATGTGGGTCTAGATCCCACAACCTTGGGATCATTACCTGTGCCTGCAAGGAAGGGTTGGATGCTTAACTGACTGATCCACCCAGGCACCTATAATTATATGTGGGAAGAATGGTAGAAAGAAATGAGGATATGAAACATGGGGAACATTTTCTAGAAAAAATTTTAAACAGGATTTTGAAGGATTTACTCAGTTTTCCTTTTTAAGTAGAAAGTCTTTTCTATAGAAAAGAATGTTTTGAGTTCATAAATATCTTAATTCTAGATAGTGAACTTAAAAAGTCTTGATATCCTTGGGGCCCCTGGGTGCCTCCGTCAGTAAGCATCTGCCTTCAGCTCAGGTCATGATCCCAGGGTCCTGGGACTGAGCCTCTCAATGAGCCCTGCATAGAGCCTCTAATCAGGCTCCCTGCTCAGCTGGAAGTCTGCTTCTTTCTCTCCTACTCCCTCTGCCTATGTTCCCTCTCTTGTGGTGTCTTTCTGTCAAATAAATAAATAAAATCTTAAAAAAAAAGTCTCAATATCCTCATTTGAAACCCAGGACCATAACATATTTTTCAAAATGTTATTTTTATATGTTGTAGCACTACAAAATATTTTATTATTAACTTATAAATGAATAGAAATAGTGAAATATTTCTTAAAATGGTCTAATAAACAGTTTATGAAACACTTTAAAATGATGTTTAAAGAATGAAAATTTTAAGGGCAACTGGGTGGCTCAGTTGGTTAAGCTGCTGCCTTCAGCTCAGGTCATCCTGAGATCCAGTCCCGCATCAGGCTCTCTGCTCAGCAGGGAGCTGCTTCCCCCCTCTTTCTCTGTCTGCCTCTCTGCCTACTTGTGATCTCTCTCTGTGTCAAATAAATAAATAAAATCTTAAAAAAAAAACTTTAAGAATGAAAATTTTATAGATTCATTTGAAATATTTATTTCCTAAATAAAAAATTAATTTAAAAAATAAAATATTAAGTATGCAAAGGTAGTGTAATTTTGTTTTTCTAAAAATTCTTATTTGAAGTCAATTTGGTCTATTTGTATAAAATAGAAATGGAGTGAATCATAAGAATTAGTGATTTTTCAATCTTAGCCAGAGACTAGCAGGATCTCCATTTGTTCTGAAATTATAGCACTAAGTTATCATGGAAGAAAGAGCCATTGAAGTAGATAGATCACTTATATAATCTCCTTTCAAATATATTAGCTATGATCTCTTCATCTACTAATCTTTGCTCACTAGTATACATCATCAGGATAACATTGTCTTGAATTCACGTTTTCTCTTTATTACCCTACTCTGGTTAAAATAAGAAAGTCTGGTTATAAGTTTGATTGAGTTACTAGATGTAAAAAAATTCTCCTAGTTTTTTTGTAGAGTCTTATGTCTGCTCTGCTTTTCAAAGGAACAGTATTCCTACACATAAATGATATTTGGGCAGCTTGGGGAACTTATATAGACATTAATATGGAAGAGAGTTGGAAAGAACAGTAATTGAACTGCTGAGATAATTCCTGTCAGCTGCAGTGCTCAGAACTGGCTTAGGTCCATTTGAAGCCTTCTGGTCCTGTGGTCTCACTAAAGGCAGTGTTCTGCATATTATCTTTGATCGAGTTATGCTTGAATAATTTTGGCTGAAGATGGAACAATTTCTCACTCTTCAGAACTTTACAGTTGCACTTGCTAATAAACCAATTGAATTATTTATTTTCCTTTTTAACCATGAGTCAGTTTTGAATTATAGTTCTATATTTAAAATTTACAATATAAATTTTTATTTATAAGAATGGTAAAAATCTGTAGTATTAAGACATAATAACCCAAAGCAGTCTTAGTATTGTTTTTGTTTTTAAACTATGAAATTGAAATAAATTGTGATAATGCATATTTCTGTCTTAGTCTGCTAGGGCTGCCATACAAATATCATAAATTGGTGACTTAAAAACAGAAATTTATTTTCTCATGATTCTGGAGTCTGGAAGTTTGAGATCAGAGTAGTAACATAGTCAGTTTCTGGTGATGGTGCTTTTTCTGCCTTATAGATAGCCAACTTCTCTCTGTGTCCTATATGGAAGAGAGGGAGTGAGCAAGAGAGCACAACCTCTCTGGTATCTCTTCTTAGAAAAGCACAATCCCATCCATGAGGGCCTCATAGCTCTCAAAACTTCATCTAACCTAAATTACCTCACAAATGCCCCATCACCAAATACCACTGCACTGGGGGGTCAGGGTTTCAACATATGAATATTGGTAGGACATAAACATCTACCATATTAAGAATCTCTCAAAAACTTTTTTTAAACAAAGAACATGGCATAAAAAGTGAGAGACACAGTGAGAGAGGGAACACAAGCAGGGGAAGTGGGAGAGGGAGAAGCAGGCTTCCTGCCAAGCAGGGAGCCTAATGTGGGGCTCAATCCCAGACCCTGGGATCATGACCTGAGCCAAAAACAGACACTTAATGACTGCCACCCAGGCACCGCATTGGCACCATGTTCTAAGAACAAGAACCCAGGTTTTCATACTGGCTTTGTGAAGACCCCTAATGTTCCTGAATCTTATTTTACTCATAATAAAATACGCTTCCCAACA